TATTTCCCTCTAGTAATTTGATGGCATCAGGTTGTACAACAAGCTCCTTGATCCGCTTAAGGCTGATTTTTGTAAAAAGTGAAAGGTAGGGGCCTTATTTCATACTATGTAATAGAATTTTCCCAGCACCAACTGTTGAAGAGACTGTCCCAACTCCATGGATGGATTTCAGTTCATTTATCAAATATTAACGGCACCATTTTCTCCAGATCTGAGAAGAATGTCATTGGTATTTTGATTGGGATCCCATTAAATCTGCAAATTACTCTAAATAGTATGGACATTTTCATATTCCTACCAATTCATGAAAATAAAAGGCTTTTCCATAATTTGATGTCTTCTTATAATTTTCACTGTAGAGCTCCTGCACATTCTTGGTTAAGTTTATTCCATGGCATTTAATCTTTTTCCTCAGTTTCTGAGAATGGGACTGAACTTAAAAGTTCCCAGAATTGTGTATACAAAGACTATTGATTTCCATGTGCTGACTATATATATATTCTGTACTTAACTCTAACTGGTTTCAATATTCTTACTCAAGTGCTTTGGTTCACCTAGAGGATTATGTCAGCTGTGAAGAGGGATAGCTTCACTTTCCTTTCCAGTTTGTATCCTTCTGATTTTCTTCTTGCCTAATGGCTCTGGGTAGAATTTCCAGGACAATATTAAATAGCAGTAGAGAATATTAAATAGCAGTAGAGAATGAGCATCTTGGTAGAAATGCCTCCAACTTTTCCCCATTCAATATGACGCTATTTATGGGTATATCACGTATTACCTGGATTGTGTTTAGAAATGATCCTTCTATATCCAATTTGTTTACATTTTTTATTTTATCATGAATGTTGTATTTTATCAAAAGCTTTCTCTATTAGATAACCTGCTAATAATCAGCCTTCAGCCTGCTAATGCAGTGCATCACATTTGTTGATTTGCTTATGTTGAACCATCCCTAAAAACTAGAAAAAACCCCACTTGGTCTTCATGAATGATGGCTCTGAACCATTGCTAGACTCAATTAGCTAGTACTTTGTTGAGGATTTTTACATCTGTGTTTATCAGAGATGGTGATCCACAATTCTTACTCTGTATGTCTTTTTCTTTTTCCAGTTTTCAAATTAAGGTAACGCTGACCTCATAGAAAGAATTGATGGTTCCCTCCTTTTCAAATGCTTTTAAATCATTTGAGACTTGAAATTAGTTCTTGAAAAATTTGGTAGAAATGAGGAGTGAAACCTTCTGGAGCTGGGTTTTTCATTGTTGGGAGGGTCAACACAACTCAATCTCCATCTTGGGAGCTATCATCTTGACTCAATTTAGGTAGACTGTATGTGTCCAGAAATCAATTTATTTTCTCAAATTTTTAATGTGCTGGCATACAGCTCTTTGTAGTAACTCCTGATCACTGCTCATATCTGAAGCCTCTGTTCTTAAATTTCCCTTTTCATTTGATTTTATTTATATGGATCATCTCACTTTTTGGTTAGTTGCACAATGATCTACCAATTTTGTTTTGTTTTCAAAAGCAAAGTCTTAATTTCACATTTGTATTGTTATGTACATTTACTTTTAGGCATCTGGGAAAACACCTGATGATTTTCTTCTCTGATGGGTTCTCTTCTTTATATTAAGCCTCTATTGCTTGGGGAAGTGACTACTCCTTCAGGGGAAGTAGAGAGTAGCATTCAGATTAGGGCCACAATACTGCAGCCAGGACTCAAGGCTGGGGTGTGTGTCCAGGGTAACATCAAGATTGGGCATGTTTGATCTCCTTCTCTGGGGAGAAAAGAGAGCAATCATGACGTTCAGCATAACCACTACCTCACCTCCTGACAGACAGTGACGAAGGCCCTGGGTTAGCCTACAGTTGACATCACATATTCACACCAGCACGTAAACTATGTGGAAGCACTCTGTTCTGTCCACATGAGCACAAAACTGTGCTGTCATATACTTCAGGCAACCTGAGATCTCTTAGCTTTTTATGTCAAACACACTGAAGGCCCAGTAACACAGCCATGTGCCACACCCCATCGTGCAGTACCAGAACTGCCAGTCTATGTGCTCATACTCCAACAGGAACTTAGGATCCACTGAGCACCATGAGCCACCTCGCCTATAGGGGCAGAAGCAAGCTGTGAGTGCTCCACCTTGGAACTTTGTGCCTCTGAGCCTGAAGAAGTGCAAGTGTGTGTATGCCTGCATCTCAATGGATGTGCAGACTCAAGAGTCTTTGGGGAGTACCTATCTGTCCGTCTCTTAAAATTCCCTAGTTATGGGCCCGCCACAATAGCTTAATGCCTAAATCTTTGCCTTGTATGCACCGGGATCCCATAAGGGCACTGCTTCATATCCCAGCTACTCCGCTTCCCATCCGGCTCCCTCCCTGTGGCCTGGGAAAGCAGTATAGGATGGCCCATACACTTGGGATCCTGCATCCACATGGAAACACAGAGGTTCCTAGTTTCAGATAGGCTGAGCTTGTCATTGCACCCACCTGGGGAGTGAACCAGCAGTAGGAAGATCTTCCTATGTCTCCTCCCCCTCTGGAAATCTGATTTTTCCAAAACAAATCTTAAAAAAAAATTCCCTATTCATGTTAAAGTGCTTATGCTGGCAAGAGATAAAGCCAATGAATACCTTCACTGACCATTAGATGGCATTAACCACTAGTAGACTCAGTTTTGCTAATGCTTGGTAGAGGATATGAAGGGGCTATTCCCCTAAAAGGATTCGCATCCCTTGCACTGGCTCCAACCTGAGACTGGAGCCACTATGGTCCATTAGATTCTGTCAAGTATGTGGCTGCACCACAGTGCTTCACAACCACTGCAAAAACTGCTGCAACCTCCCCTGATTTCAAAATGGTGCTCACAATATAGTCATAGAACCATCATGCTGATGATCAAAGAAACCTCTCCTCAAGAACTACAGATTTCTGAAAGTGCCAGGACCCCATATTGGTGCCAGTTCATGTCATGTTCTGGCTGATTCACTTCCAATCCAGCCTCCTGCTTATGGCCTGGGAAAGCAGTATAGGATGGCCCAAAGTCTTGGGACCCTGCACCCTCCTACATGGAAAACCCAGAAAAAGCTCCTGGCTTCTAATCAGCTCAGCTCCAGTTGTTGTAGCTACTTGAGGAATGAACCAATAATGAAAAATTTTTATTTCAGTAAATATGATCTGCCTATACAACAAAAATAAGTAGACTTAAAAAAAAAAAACACAACAACAAAAAAACCAGCGTTTACTCCTCCCTGATCTGGGTGGCTCAGGTCAGGACACAAGGGAAATAGATGTAACCCTCCCCATACACTCTAGCAATAGTCCATACTTATCTGCTAGATTCTGCACTAGAAAATACTGCCACTTTGGTCACAACAGCCTATTTCCACCTGACTCCTCCAGTCCTGGCTCACAGGAGCCATCAGTGGTAGCCACAGAACTGCTGTGTTCATGTGGCTCCACTGTCCCTCTCCATTGCTCAGTGTTTCTGGTGTAGGATTTGCTCGAATTTTCCTTCAGAAATGTGCTCCATCAGCTTCCCCTGGTCAAAATCCACAAGTATGTTCCCTATTCTGCCAACTTGGAATCCACTTTCCTTTTCTAACCTACAGTGTGTCATTTCAGTGTCATGACATGCTGAAGAACAGAGTTCTTTAATGCCTAGATGAGATTTACTTATAGAAATGAGTTTACTTACATGAAGCCTCTTTGACACATATCAAGTGAATTTACCTGTATCTTTTATTGCAACTTCACTTTGGCAACTCTTATAATGTGCTTCACTGTATTTTTATTTAATGTCATATATTTACATTGAAATATTGTCTCTTCAGAAGAACAAATTCCAAAACAATAATTCAGATTTTTCCCTCTAATTTCCCTCTGTGTGTGTGTGTGTGTGTGTGTATGCACACCTATTTAAAATTCTGGTAGTACACATATTGTTAACATGAGTATGTTTCAGACCTGACTGTGGTTATACACTAGCTTCTTTGCAATTTGTAATCAATTAAAGGAAAAAAAAAAAAACCACTAAAAACAGAACTTTCAAAAAGAGCACACAAAAACAGTCAGCATGATGGCATAGCAGGCTGATCTTCTAAATCTGACACTGGCAACTCCTTATGAGGGCCAGTTTATCTCCTGGTTGTTCCACTTCCCATCCAGCTCCTTGCTTCTCACCTGGAAAAGCAGTGGAGAATGGCTCAAGTCTTGAGCCCCTGCACTCATGTGGGAGACCTGAAATAAACTGGCTTCTTGTATCAGATCAGCTCAGCACCAGCTGTTGTACTTAGTCTTCTGGAGAGTGAAACAGTGGATGGAAATGCTTTCTCTCTGTATCTCGTCTGTGTAAATTTGCCTTTCAAGCAAAAATAAATCTAAAAAAAAACATTTACCTCTTCAACTAATTCTGTATCTTAAAGTGGTAATAAGAAATCTTTTAGAATATGCCAACATGTATGCATATACAAATACAGTCTTTTGACCGCATTTCTAAAATTAAATAGAGGTCATTAAGAGTCAACTGGCTGAATGAACAAACTTGAGAAAAGGTGACTTAGGTTGAATGTGGGAAAGGGAATTATTCATTTTTGATAAATTTCACACTTACTCAAATACAATTCAAGAACACAAAAACTACTGAATTATAGTAGCTCAATGGTCTGTGCACAGTCTACCATACATTATGTAACCACTTTAAATAATATCCATTTATATGTGCACCTCATAACTATAAACTATTTCTAATTACAGACATGTTTCTGACCTTAATTCTTTAAGGAGTAATAATAGTCAGTATAACAAAAAGATATTAAAGAATACTATAAAGAAACACAAACATAAACCCAGAATACAAGACGCTGTGAGACAACTGGCACAGATGATAAAAAAGGCAATACCAGGAGGGAAATATTCCAACAAGAATAATCCACATGAAGAAAATAACAGCGTGGCACAAATTTCTAGAAAGGATCTTGGATTTTTTTTTAAAAAAGTTAGATATAATCAACAATTGGAGAACGTCTTGTAACATTGTGCACAGAATTACTGCTAATTTTCTTAGTTGTGAAAATCATTTGTTTACATTATGTATGTGTCCGCATCAGTAGCACAGGTACTAAAAGTGGAACAATAAAGAATCTGTCTCTATCTTTACAATGTGTATGATGAAGCACATAAGAAATGTCCCTAACTTGTCTACTTACACATTAAGTATATGTGTGGGGATCAGCATTACAGCACAGTGGTTTAAATTGCCACATGCAACATGCTATTTTGGCATGTGCCACCAGCAAATGTAATGTCGGCATTCTACATCAGAGTGTTAGTTCAAATCCTGACTGCTCTGCTTCCAATTCACATTTCTGTTAATGTGCTGGGGAAGGCAGTAAATGACAGCCCAAGGGCTTGGGCCTCTGCCAACCTTATGGGAGGCCAGGATGAGGTTTCTGGATTCTAGCTTCAGCCTCGACTAGCCTCCTAAGGCAGCCATTTGTGGGGCGAACTGATGAATCAAGGGTTTCTATCTCATATACCCTGATGTGTTTTCAAATAAATAAGTTTTTAAAGCATGTACATGTATACATACACATATGGGCATATATAGATAAATATATGAAAGATGATGCAATTATACAAGCTGTTAGTGATGGATAAGTCCTGATTAAAAATATTTATGTGTATTAATCTTTCTGCAGATAAAAAAATTCACAACACAAAAAGCTTATTGACATTGAATACTTATTTCAACAGGCCAATTTAACAGTATCCTATCTCTTCAGTAAAGTAAGACAGTTAAATATGAAGACTTTGGATAAGAACTGTTAAACATTTTAAACACAAAACTAATAATTATAGATACAAAGTTCAACAAATATTTAATACATAGAAGGGAATCTGCAGAAATGGTCCCTCACAGAGAAGGGGAGACAGGTACATCAAAAGAGGACACCAGAACCAGCAAAGATTGCAAAAACCACACAAAGTACATATTAGAAGTCACTCCTGGTACATTTAAAACAGCAATGTATTATCACATTCAAAAGGCTTTGATATCTGTTGGCTACAAATGCTGAACAGTAAATGGATTTTTTCCCATTCAGATGTTACTGTTTAATGAAAACGCACCTCAAATACTTAATAGAAAAAAATTGAGATAAACTTGCTTCACAGAAGTTTACATTCAGTTCCTTTTATAAAAAAAATATTTTCCTTCAAAATAAGGACAGCTACTAATGAAAAATTTGTCAGAAGTGCAATAAATACAGGTTTCAAAATAAAACACATATGATCCTAAGAGGTCCTTTCCCATTTCTATCCTTGCCATGTCTCTGAAAGATGGAAAAGATAGTGCTTCATTTTGACTGAACATTTTCCAGCTAATATTTTCATTCATTTTAAGTGAAAGGCATAAACCAATAAGTGTCAGTAACAGGTCTTATCACTTAATTTATAAGCTTAGTAATCAAAAAGGTAAAGAAAAATATGTGCTTTGTAATAGGGTAGTTTTTCCATTTCACCATTCTTTAGCGTTTATAGGGCAAAAAGCATATTAGAAAACAGATACATGATGGGTATTAAAATTGAAGCAGGAGGGGTTGATGCCATGGTGCAACAAACTAAGTCTGAACTTAATCCCATATGGGCACCAAGGAGTCCCAGCTGTTCCGTTTCTGACCTAGCGTCCTGCCAATGCTCCCGGGAAAGCACAAGAGGAGAGTCCAGGTGCTTGGATTTCACCCATGTGGGAAACCTGGGAGAACTGGCTGGCTCCTGGCTTCAAACCAGCCCAGCTCCTCACACTGCGGCCATGCAGGGAGAGAACCAGATGGAAACTCTTATCTCTGTCCTCGCTCTCTCTTGCTCTCTCTCTGTGTCTCTCCTTCTCTCACTCCGCCTTTCAAATAAAAAAATAAACAGTTTTTTTTTTAATGAAGAGTTGTTGGTAAACAGAAGTTTATCAAAAGGCCATGAAAAAGCCTATCACTTGGAAAAAAGTAAAACACAAAATTTAAAGTGGAAAAAAGATAACAACCTATTTGACAATGTTTATCAAATGTAATTTACTAAAAATGACTAAAGTATAAAACTTGAATTCAAATTTTAAAACTACTATTTCAGGGCAACATATTCTAAACTCAGGACAACACAGCACTACAGTGAAACTTTAAGTTGAAAGTAGCGCTTGAGATCTGAACCTGTGAAATGAGTCAGCAAGATGAGTATCTGTTGAATATGGAGCCACTTTTCAAAAAGAAAGGAAGTTACCTGTGGAAAATAGTCTTAAGAAAATACAAATCATACTCTGATTTATAGTATCAAATTTGTTAATTCAATAGCTATGGCCTTCATCTCAGTTTTTTCAATTGTTTAAATGATAGTGCTCAATTATAGCATAGTTTAACCAGGGAAATTATAAATATTTAAGATTAAACTGTCACTAAAAAACATTTTCATAAGGAATAAAATAAAAGCATTCATTCAAAAATACTCTCAACTAGGAAGCCAAAAATTCCACTAAATTTTAAAGAGGAAAGACAGAGAACAGACCGAAAAACCCAGTCTGAAAGATAATAAATATAATAAATTGTTAAGCAAAGTCAGGAATATAAATTACTTTGAAACATCCACTTATATCCATTTTAATGAAAGTTAAAGGATACAATGTGTTAAGGACATATTGAGAGACTAGCAATAGGATAAGACAAATGAATTAAATTTAGTTATAATCTAAATAATTACAAGAGACCTTAAAAATGTAGTGTAATTCCTGTTTTCTTTCCAGTTTAAAAAATCCTACCCAATGCCTCTATCTTTGGTGTTACTGCCACCAAAAAACAGTATACAGCTTAGAAACCTAATTACTATTTTTCAACTAGGAAAATGTAAATTAACATTATTTCTTTTAAAATAGGATATAAAGAATGGTAATTCTACTTACTTTTGTCTCATGGCCCCTATATCTGAAACATCATGCCAAAACGTGAAAGTTTAAAAGGGAACATTATCAACTGCTAAAACTATGCCAAAAATTTAGCTACTGTACACTGACGTGATGACAGCTAGCAGTATGCAGAGGCTACAGAAGGACATAATACACATATTTTTAGCTCACAATTAGTAAAAGGAAGTTTCCATTTAATTTGAAGCTGAAACCTGAACAAATAATGCCTTCAGTACATATGCTACAACTTTGTTCCCCTGCAGTTTAAAAAGATAGTGTAATTATTTAAAATTTACATGATACATTATGAAACATGGTAGCTGTTCATGATTAAAATAAAATAGCAATGTAAATTAACTTAACAGTGTTAAATATATTCACATGATCACCACTTGATTCAAATGGCCACTAATGAAGTTACATACCAATAGATATACGTAACATTTCCCAAGACAGTTTTTCTAAGTTTGACTTTTTGCAGACCAGGTAATTTTCATGAGACAAATAATCTCGTATCAATTCTTTGTATTATAAAAGAAATTAAATGTTGTAAGTAGTTTCATTCCTCGGGGGGAAGGGGAAAGGAGAACCTCTAAAAAGTCAGTGCAAAATGAAGAGAGTTCTACCTTCTTCAATAGTTTAACTTGCTCCTCAAGATGGATTCCTATGAGTTGGAAATAAACAGATTTTAAGATACGAATCACTCTCTGCATTGTCTGCATCTTCAGCAGAATCTCCCACTAGGAGGAACACCAGGTCCTATAGCAGAGCCTTCTGCGAATATGGTTGTTGTGGCTGAGGTGGTTGTTGGCTGCCTACTGGCTGAGGCAGTGCTGAGGCTGTTAAATTATAGTTTGGCACCTGGGACAAATTAGTTCCTGCGTTCTGGTAAATGGTGACATCAGCAGCGGTGGCAGCAGGAGGAGGACTGTACACCGAAGCCTGGCTGGGATACGTACTTCCTTGAACAGAACTAACCATTGTACTGTAAAAGAGAAAAACACTCAGTTAGATAAGTACTCAATTATATAGCCACTCAGAGATAAACAGGAAAGCTAATTATCAAATATTCATTTATTCAACTCATTCAATACAATTTGCTCAATACCTATAATGTCAAACATCACTATTTCAGGAACCAGGATATTTCAAAGAAAGAGGAAAACAAATCACCGTAACGTAGCTTATATTCTAGTATGAGCTGGTAAGGACCGCTAGGAGAAAAGGCAAGACAAGACAGGGGGAAAAAATAGCTTATTTGGGACAACAGATTCTAGTTTATTTGGGGTAAAGGGGGTAGTAGGCATCTAAGGGGTACCAATGTGCAAGCAAAGACCTGAAGACAATGAGGGAAAGAGCCATACTGACCATCTAGAAAAGCACGTCTCAGGCAGAGAACAAACCCTGAGGACAGACTATGACAAGCAAGATCAAGCAACAATGAAGGGGTCAGAAAGGCTGCAGCAAATGAGTAAAGGAGAGAAAGGCGTGAGCTGAAGTGGCTGGATTAAGGCAGAGAAGGAGCCTCAGCACAGAGTATTCTGAAGTACATAAAGATTTTAGCTGACACTGTTAATGGCACAAAGACGGCAACTGACTTTGGCCAAAGGGTGATATGATTCATCATATATCAACAGGCTCGCTCTGTGACATAGATGCAAGTAAAGATACCCGGCTAAAAGCTAATATAATCACTGAAAGGTGGCCACTTGTGGACATGAGAGACAGCCTGAAGACAGGGTCATAACTTGATAACGAACAAAGCAAGGAAGAATGTCACAGATTTTAAAACTAAAGCACTGATTAAAATAAGTGGTAAAGTGGCCACTCACTGAAAGGGAGGAGACTACAGATAGGACTTTTACAGCAGTCAGGGAATGGGAAGGGAATAAAGATCAAACAAAAGAAAACGAGATGTCTACATGTAAACAAGAAAAAAGAACGCATAGAGAGAGATGGCTACGGAGCTGCACCAAATCCCAGGAGGAAACTAGCTGCAGAAGCTTAGAGTCAACAGCACACAGCAACACATGGACATGGTGCCCAAATTCAGGGGGCTGTGTGAAACCCCTAGGGAATGACTATAAAGAGAAAAAAGAGCACTTCATATACTAATCCACCAATTTTAAGGTCTCCCATCCAAGTACTAATCAGGCCCGACCCTGCTTAGCTTCCAAAATCAGAGATTAGACGCGTTCAGGGCGGTATGGCCATAGACAATCCTGCCCGACAAAGGATACTTAAAGATGTTCTCTCTTCTTCAAGATTTTATTTATCTTTATTGGGAAGGCAGATAAATAGAGAGGAGAGACAGAGAGGAAGATCTTCCATCCGCTGATTCACTCCCCAAACAGCTGCAACAGCCAAAGCTGAGCCAATGTGAAGTCAGGAGTCAAGAGCTCTTCCAGGTCTCCCATATGGGTGCAGAGTCCCAAAGCCCAAGGCTGTCCCTGACTGCTTTCCCAGTCCACAAGCAGGGAGCTGGCTGGGAAGAGGGGCCGCCGGGATTAGAACCGGCACCCACATGAGATCTGGGAGCGTGCAAGGCGAGGACCTTAACTACTATGCTATTGCGCTGGGCCCAAAGATGTTCTCTTGACAGAGAAAAGGAATAGCACCCACCAAAACCAAAGGCAAATGAAAAGAACATCCCAGTGAAATAACAACAGAAGACCAAATTATTGAACAATCCATTGCTAAAATGACAGAAGCAGATTACCACCCATTTATAGTAACCATGAATGTATATGGCTTAAACTCATCCACCAAACACCATAATTGGACTGCATTAAAAAACAAAACCCATCTATTTGTTGCCTAGAGGAGACACATTTCACCAACAAAGATCAGTGGAAACTATATCTCATGGATTCTGATATTTTTGTTAGTTTCACCTCTTCAAAACACTTTCTTCTCATTAAATTCTTCAATGATTCATAGATCATACATCAGCATCACTTTCCTCAAGAAGGTTCATGACTTTCTTCAGCGACACATTACTCATTCAGTAGCATCCTATTTAACTTCATGGTGTTTTTAATTTCTTTTTTTTTCTTCCCGTTTTTGATTTTGTTTTGTGGCTTTTCATTTAAGAGGATGTATAGTGGGCCCGGCACAGTGGCCTAGCAGCCAAAGTCCTTTCCTTGAACGCACCGGGATCCCATATGGGTGCCGGTTCTAATCCTGGCCGCTCCACTTCCCATCCAGCTCCCTGCTTGTGGCCTGGGAAAAGCACTCGAGGATGGCCCAAAGCTTTAGGATCCTTTACCTGTGTGGGATACCCAGAAGAAGTTCCTGGATCCTGGCTTCAGACTGGCATAGCATTGGCCGTGCGCTCACTTGGGGAGTGAATCCTCAGATGGAAGATCTTCCTCTCTGTCTCTCCTCCTCTCTGTATATCTGATTTTCCAATAAATAAATAAATCTTTAAAAATAATAATAAATAAATTGAATAAAAAAGAGGATGTATAGTAACTGTGTAATGGAGACTATTATAGCTAGCAGCATGTTATTTAATTTCATGGCATTGTAAATTTCTATTTTTCTTCCTGTTGTTGATTTTGTATTGTGGCTTTTAATTTAAGGGAATGTATAGTAACTATGTAATGGAAACAATCCATATGTGAGGATACAATGCAGTACGCATCTCTACTTCCAAAGATAAACTCCCAATGAAACTGTTCACTATATCTTAACGATAGGACGCTGGACTCTGCCATTGTCCATGCCCGCAATGATGGACATATGACTGTGTATGAAGAACTATACTATAGTAATGATACAGGGGAACTCAGTGAAGGGGACGGAGTTGAGGAGAGGATAAAGGAAATCTCAGTCCCTACAGAACTGTATCATAAAATTATAATAATAAAAAGAAGTAAATAAAATAAAGTCTGGAAAAGACAAAGAGGCACTAGGCAAAGGAGACTGAGAAGGAAAACAAAAACAAAATACTTCAGAATAATTATGAGCAAGAGAACAATAAACAAACCATTAAAAAAAACAACAAGAGGAAATGATAAACTGTCAAATGGGTTAGGAGATTCCAGACCCTCACAAACTGGCAATATGGAAATAACAGTAACCTTGACAAAACAGCCCTCACAGAACAGTGGAGATAAAAGCCTGATACCTGACCTATTATTGACTATAGTATAACTTAATTACACATGGATTCAGGCCAGATGCTTTAGGAGGTTCTGGGTTTAAGAAATTTCCTACAGAAGTAAAAAATCTGACACTGTATTATTCTAAGCCAAGAGAAAAGGTACTAAGAAAGATATTCTATCATGGTAAGGTGAAATGACATGGTATCCACCAAATGAGCAAAATGGGACATATATAAAAGGCATGTTTAGGAGCCTAACATGATGGTTCAATGAGCATATTCTAAACTTGGATGATGGTTCATGATTTGGTTGCTCCACTTCCCATCCAGCTCTCTGTTTTGTGGCCTGGGAGGAGAGAGGATGCCCACAAAGCCTTTTGGACCCTGACCATGTGGGAGACCCGGATGCAAATCCTCAATCTCAATACCCCATAAATGTTACTAGGCCTCTCTGTTGCCCTCCTTTCTCTAGGTAACTTCTGGTGAAAAGGGAACAATGCTTTAAAAAAAAAGAGAAAGAAAAAAACACAATCATCTAAAACATGAATTTCTTCAAGGATAAATAACAATATGGAGCAGTGGAGGAGTGGTGGGCTACTGATGGAAACTAAAAGCTACTCTGGTGCCACCTAGAAATTTGTGTTATGAATTCATATGCCATGACTTCTAAAATACATGCTGGTAAATTGTTAAAGCTTACTTTTTATTCATGATAAGACTTTAGATTCCTGCTGAAGCAGAAAAAATAAATATAATCCGCAATCATTCAATTATATGACAGAGTATACCATTTAAGTAAATGCCAAAAATATCTGGTCTCTGTCATCCTGTATTTGGCTACGTACCACATGAACCACACAGGGCAGAGAGCTTCCAATATCTTAGCTTTCAATCTGTACCTTATTTCTCTAACAAATTCCAACATAGGTAAAAATTAGAAAAAAATTTCATAAAATAGGCAGCCAAGGGTATACAGTCTAACAAAACAATAAACCTGTGGCAAAATGATAAAATTTAACTATGGAACATAAGTTTCATTAAATATATTATAAAAATCATGATAAAATTGAATAAGAACAATTGTTTTAGGAATGCAAGAAATACAGAATACTAAAATAGAGGAGTTTAGTAAGTCAGTAAAACAGAAGACACGCTTGGGCTTGCACTGTATACCACAGAGGTCCCAAATGTAATTTAGCTCCAGATGTTTTCTTTCAAGATGCATGGCTACAAATAATTGGAGAAACTTAATGAGATTTATCAGCACCAACTCCAAACAATAAAAAATAATCAAATTACTTTGGGTAAGCAGCGTGGGTCTGCTGACCAGGAAGAGCTGGGTTAGCAGAGGGCGGAAGCGCTCCTTGGCTGAGCGTAGACAGCTGCTCGGGTGGAAGGCTGTAGCTCTGAAGATGGCTCATCTGTGCATTCCCTGCAACCAGGTAAGCACCACTTGGGGGAGGCCCGGCATACACCTGCAACAGGCAATGAGAAACAGACTCAGTTCCAATACTTGAACAGGCACACCAAATGTTCTTTGCAAAGGCACTGCATTACAAGAATAAAATTACTTCTTTGTAATTTAAAAAATTCTTTCGAGAAGCACTAATTAAAAACAAGAAACTTTCAGTAGTAATATAAGCTAATACAGGTTGTTTTAACTTCAAGTTTATCTCCATACAGAAGCATTAAAGCAACTTACTCTAAAATTTAATACCAATATAATCTTTTCTATTTTATATAAGTGTTGCCAAAGAATACTGAGGCAGGAAGTATAACTGAAATTACTGCTACACTGTATATAGACATTTCCTAAAGGTTTGATGGTGATTACACTGTATAACTATATACAAAAAACTGTTTTAAAAAAACTTGGTATGTTTAGTACATCTGACATTTTGTCAAGTTATAAAAATCCTTCTCACTTTTTACTACATATTAGAGAATCTGACATTCACAAAAACCTACTTATTCCAAATTCCTTTTTTTAAGATTACCTGAGAAGCAGAAACACCAGATGACTGCACATAATACTGCGGATTCTGTAATTTTGCATACATGGAATACATAGGGTCTTCATTCATTAGCTTGGTATACAGTGAAAGTGCTTCCATTACTTTAACATTAAGTTCTGAAAGTTCAGAATGTTTTCTGAAATGTTAAACAATAAAATAAAACACAGCAGTTGTTTAAATGAGATGTTCTATATAATCACCCACCAAAATAGCAAGAACAGCATACAGAAAAAACCTGTATTTTAGCTCTAAGCAAACCCAAACTGTTCAGTGTTTAAGTACTATGCTGAGAGAATTACAGCTTCCTGCATTTGACTATAACTTAAAATATCTAGGTTTCCCTACATATTAACAAAAAGGTCATCTGTAGGTTCTAATGGGTTTATTAGTTAAACTAACATTGTAAAGGTCAATCAAATCCTCACTTACTGAAAAGGCAAATCAGTCTAATTTTGCATGTATTGGTAAAAATAAGCGCATGTGAACTGGGTCCTTTACAAATTCTTTTGAAAAGCAGTAACTCACTTTGCCATTTATAGAAATAGCTCCATGTAAGAAGGTATGAAACATATTAGTAAATTAAATATATAAAATACACATTTTCTTTTACCTATCAATATCTTCCAGCTTTTCATCTATGAGAGGTCCCATCTGATGACACATTGCTAAGATAACAAGATTTAAGAAAACACAAGTGAACTTTTGATGTTCATGTAATTTACAGAATAAAAGATATAATTTGTAACAACACAGAAACCAAACTGTCTTAAAGTACAATGATGACAACTTCAAATACTGAACTCCAAAAAAAAATTTTTTTAATTTCACTATATAAAATTCTGAAGTACTGAACACAATTATTTAATTTGGGTAGAAATATACACAAATGCAAACTCAACCTGAGATTTAAACAACATATGAAAGTGAGATTGATCCAAGAAAGATGAGAAGCTCAATCTCAAACACCTCTGTGAGAGAACACTGACACACCTTCTAAGCCATCTTTATTTGCAAGGAAAATAAAAACAAACACAAGATTTACCTTCGAGATGAAGCAGCTCTGGGAGGTCCGGCTGATCATCACTGGGATCTGTACTTTGCAACATCTGCAGCAACTGGTCCATTTTATCCTACGAGAAATAAGAATTTACTATAGAGAGTAACTAAACTTTACACAATGTTATGATTTTATTCTGTTTATAAAGGATATGGTACTTACATAATTCATAGTCACAATGACCCCAATATAAATTGATGTTTTTAGCATCCCATGCATTCCCTAATACCATGTAAAATCAGAATCTTAAGAGGTTTTCTGGAACTGCTCACAGAGATTACAAAGCCATATTTGAACTAATCACACGTCACATTAAAGGATTTCATTTGGTTTTAGTATAACTGTCGCTTAGCCAAGCAACAGGTGTTAACAGACCATTCAAAATGGCAATGCATGACTAACAACTACTTCTCCCTGACAGGGATATTAGCAGCTGCTTCAGGAAAGCATAGCTCTGCCTAATTCAGCCATCGCTCTAAGCAGAACTCTAAGACTATGTTCTATGTTTGCTATCTACCAATGCATGTTTTTCATTATTAGCAAAGACAAAGACTCATGGTTTCTCTATTCAATGTGGGAAGGGTTGGAAAGCATCTTAAATCATTAACTCTACCCTATTACAACAGGATTTTCTATTGCATAGACCAATGGAGCTAATAAAACCATAACTGCAAATATACCCATCACATAAGGACACACACACATATTTGCATGTATTTTTAAAATCAAAATTCAGCTGTTAGAGATACTACTAAAATAGTTACAAATCTCTCACTGTAATTCTTTTTTTTTTAAAGATTCATTTTATTTTTATTGGAAAGTCAGTTAAACAGACAGGAGGAGAGACAACAGAGAGGAAGATCTTCCGTCCGATGATTCACTCCCCAAGTGACTGCAATGGCCAGAGCTGAGCTGATCTGAAGCCAAGAGCAGAAGCTTCTTCCAAGTCTCCCACACGGGTGTAGGGTCCCAAGGTCTTGGGCCATGCTTGACTACTTTCCCAGGCTACAAGCAGGGAGCAGGATAGGGCCGCCAGGATTAGAATCAGAACCCATATGGGAATCCCAGCACATTCAAAATAAGGACTCTAACCACCAGGCTACTGCACCGGGCCCTGTAATTGTTTTTGGTGTGACTGTCATTGCACATTAGCACACAGGATAAATTATTTAAAGACTAAACTCTGACCAAAGTGCTTATTTGTAAAAAAAAAAAAAACAACAACAACAACAAAAAAATCTGTTCTGTGCAGGAAGAGCCAGAGAGAGAATTGTAACTCCTAGAGTGATATGACACAAATGTATGAAAATCCTCTTCCCCAAGTAGAATTCTGCATTTTAAAACTGAAATCATAAAATTTTTAAAAATACATTGAGAAATATATCCAAGGGCCAGTGTTGAGGCACAGTGGATTAAGCCATGGCATGACAAGCTAACACTGTTGTATGTCCGAAAGTTCAAGTCATTGTTGTTCCACTTCCAATACTGCTAATTCCAATTTCTACTAAAGCCCTTTGGAAAGCAGTAAAGAGAGGGCCGAGGTCTTTCATCCCTGCACATATGCGGGAGACCAAGATGGAGCTCCTGGCTCCTGGCTTTGGTCAAATGCAGATCAGTCATTTCAACCATTACAGCCATGTGGGGAGTCAGTCAGCAGATACAAGATCTTCCTAATCTTTGTGTGTTTGTGTGTAATTCTGCCTATCAAATAAATAAATTGAATACACACACACACACAATAAGGTTTATATATCTACCCACAGGAACTGTCACATTGTAACAATCTGCAACCACATTTGTGTTTTAAAAATAGTCCCAGACAGGAATTTTTAAACTGTCCATATTTTTGTAATGATCTCACTAAATTTCTAAACAGCTTCTCCCTAAAAATTGTCTCCTGATATACTTATGTCTATAGCCATACCACCCAGAACACGCACAATCTCGTCTGATGTCGGCAGCTAAGCAGGGTCGGGCCTGGTGAGTACTTGGATGGGAGACCTCCTGATATACTTTAAAGTCCTCTGTCAGGGCCACCACTGTAGAACACTTGATAAAGCCACTGCCTACAATGGTGCCAACTCTTTCAAATAAATAAACCTTTAAAAAAGTCTTCCTTTAATGGCCATATCAATTTTCCTTACAAGAAAAATATGCACATGCATTGGTGATAATAATATAAGGGTCAGACAAATCTAAGATAATGATGAATAGTTCAGAATGGATAAAAAACAGAACTACATTTCAAGTTCTGAAAAATAAGGTAGGATTCAGGATCAGTCCTATTCCTATTTTTTTTTATAGCTGAAAGATTAAAAACTTGATTGTATAAAACATGCTCTTATAAAGGTATCACTGACTCTTTCAATATGTTCTTTTAGATTTTGGCATCAGTGATACATCATTAAAAATTATTGTTACCAACTGTCTATTTTGGGCCTGCCACTTTTGATAGCAAAATGTGTATGAAACCATCTTAATTTTATTAATCCTTGTTCTCTGAATACCAACATCAATATACGGAATGGTCCAAACCAACTTCTACGTTCGAGCACAATGTATTAGATTATGGACAAGGAGTAAGCCTTTCTTCTCTAAAACAGGAGAAGAAGAATATAAGAAGAGAAGAGAGAAAAGAAATGGTAAATGACGGCAGAGAAAGTTCTTAGGCAGAACGATTTTAGGAAAATAAAACATACAAAAAAATGAAATCTGAAAAAAATGCTCTTACCATGACCAACACTAGGTCCAGCAAACTTTCAGTATTGGCCATAAAGACATTTAAGGCTTTGCGGGCCACATGATCCACATCATTAGCACTCAGACAACACAGAAGCAAATGAGGCTGTTTCAACAAAGCTATGTTTATAAAACAAGCATAGTCCAAGTGATATTTTGCCAATCACAGATCTACAAAATGTGACATCCAGAAAATCCTATACGGGTTTCTTAGTTCTATAACAGTTACATCTTTATACTGTTAATTCAAAGCAAGCACTGATATTAGCAGTAATATTACTTTGCTGTAATAGATTAAAACAGCCACAAACAGGCTTAAAGTTAAAAAAAAAATAACATTTTAATCTATTTCCTTTAATTTAATAATACCAGAGATTAATATAAATCTTACACAAACAGGAGTCAAGAAAATGTCAAATTTAAACACAATAACAAGATTTTAGGTTCTACTATTTGGCTCTAAAACTGCGACTTGAATTTTGATCAAGTTTATAGAATGTTTTCAAACATAATCACGCAAAACTTGTGTTATTTTTGCACATGTGATAATGGCATATGAAGACATTTAACACGTTGTTTGCATAAAGTTATTTGAAATTAGACTATGTTTAAGTCAAGGAGGAATATAAATCATTTCCAATGATACTCAACATATTCGCAGTACTTTTTATACAATGAGCTATACAGAAGTAATTAAATGACAGGTTAATTACTAGAGTAATTTGTTTTATTCATTCAGCAGTCAAGTGTTCTTTCCTGAGTATGCACAGTTTTAGTATCTCACTGAGTACCTCCAGGAAAAGGTACTCTGATGACATCAAAAGGAACATAAAAGTGCATTTTGATGAACAATCTGGCAGCATCTGTTACCACAGAAACACACAGACCCTTCTTCAACCTGGCTGACTCCGGCATGTCTATCTGAAGAAATACAAAGTCCAGGGAGAGGGGGAGATAAAAGAAGTCTCACCACAATGCTGTAACAGCAAGCAGGAGGTAAAAAAGAAGCTAAAGTGTTCAATAACAGAATAAATTTTAAAAATTCCCATTAAATACAGTCTATGAACTATCAAACAGGAATTACAATTACTGACATGAAATGGGACTACAAGGAAGTGTCAAAAACCATCTTTGCTTTATCTGTACTGTTTGAATTTTCACCAGAGAAAAGCAAAAGTATCCGAACAACTTTTTTTTAAGGAAAAAAAAAAAGCTTCATTGCAAAGCACCAAATGCAATCATGAAGAAATCACTTACTTCATCAATATAGGCTGGTTCCGGCTCGGGCTCTATTGTCTCTACCTGAACGTCATCACTGAATTGTACCGTCTTCTTCTCTGGTTTAACTGGAAAATATTGTAAGGATTATCGTTTCCTTACAATCAATTGTAAAATCTATGTTAAAGCATTTGAAGTTCTAAGAGAGAATCTAAATTTCTCTTAAATTTCCATCAAGCTAACAGAATGAATTTAAAGAACAATTGGGTTATAAATTTTGTAAACAATGACAGAACACTACTTTATGAAACTGCCAAAAATTTTTCTTAATGTTAAATTTTGTATTTTCTATGAAAGAATTCGTTAGTCTCTTTGTGAAACAAAAATCAATTAATCACTGACTACATATCAGAGTTGCAGTAAATTATCGAAAAAACTTTTACAACAGTGAATTCTGCTATCTAAAATGAATATTCTTTTAAAAGTGCAACTCACTTCAAAGCAAGCATGTCTTTTGTCACAGAAACTATAATGAATTAGCAATCAGTTAGACATTCTGCAGCAGCTGCTGCACTTTCACTTGAGCTCCCGGGTAATGGCTTGAGAAAAGGGGATGATCCAAGGCATTAGTCCCGTGTATAAACAGGGAGACATAGAAGAAGCTTCTGGCCCCTGGCTTTGGACCAACCTAGCTCGTCATTGGAGCCATTTGGAACAGATGGAAGCTTATTATCTTCCTCTGTTACTCCTTCATCCTTTGTAACTTGGTTTTCAAAGTACAATAAGCACATTTTTAAAAAAAATATTGGGGACCTGGTGCAGTTGTGTAGTGGTTAAAGTCCTTGCTTTGCATGCATTGGGATCCCATATGGGCGCCAGTTCTAATTCCAGCAACCACACTTCCCATCCAGCTCCCTGCCTGTGGCCTCAGAAAGCACTCAAGGACGGCCCAAAGCCTTAGGACCCTACACCCATGTAGGAGACCTAGAAGAGGCTCCTGGCTTTGTATTGCTCAGCTCCGGCTGTTGCAGCTGCTTGGGGAGTGAGCCATAGGATGGAAGACCTTCTTCTCTATCTTTCCTCTTCTCTGTATATCTGCCTCTCCAGTAAAAATAAATAAATCTTTGCAAAAAATATTTACAAGGCCTGGCACAATGACTCAACTGACTAATCCTTCCGTTCAAGCACTGGGATCCGTTACGGGAACCTGATCATATCCAGGCTCCCCACTTCCCTTCCAGCTCCCTGCCTATGGCCTGGGAAGGCAGCACATGGGAGACTTAGAAGAAGTTTCTGACTCTTAACTTTCGATCAACTCAACCATTTGTGGCCATTGGGAAGTGAACAACCAGCAAATGGAAGACCTTCCTCTTTCTGTCTCTTTTTCTATCTGCAAATCAGCCTTTACAATAAAAATGAATCAATCACTAAAATTTAAAAATTCACCAAAATAACTCTTCATTGAGTTTGTTGGTTTTAAAGATTTATTTATTTTCACTGGAAGGTCAGATATTTACAGAGAGGGGGAAAGACAGAACAGAAAATCTTCCACCCACTGGTCACTCCCCAAGAAGCTATAAGGGCCAGAGAAGAGCTGACCTGACGGCAGGAGACAGGAGTTTCTTCTGGCTCTCCCATGTGGATGCCGGGTTCCAAGTTCTTGGGGCATCCTGGACTAGGTTCCTAGGCCCCAAGCAGGAAGCTGGACGGGAAGCAGAGGAGCCAGGACATGGGATCCTAGTGCTTGCAAAGCAAGGATTCAGCCACTTGCATGTTTTTAATAAAACATCTGGGAGACACATGTCAGAGTTATTAAGGGGTTATCACCCACTGACAATAAAAAACACTTACTCATTTCTGGTTCAGCAGTGAGGTCTGCAGTTACAAAATTGGAAGGAAATAGTCCTGTGCCTTGATGAGTTTCCCCTTTCCACCAGTTTGGATCACTGCAACAACAAATACTATAATGAATATTTTTATTTGTCTTTACTTTTTTTTTAAAGATTTATCTTTATTTTTATTACAAAGTCAGATATACAGAAAGGAGGAGAGACAGAGAGAAAGATCTTCCGTCCGATGATTCACTCCCCTAGTGAGCGCAACGGCCAATGCTAAGCTGATCCGAAGCCAGGAACCAGGAACCTCTTCCGGGTTTCCCACATGGCTGCAGGGTCCCAAAGCTTTGGGCCGTCCTCGACTGCTTTCCCGGGCCACAAGCAGGGAGCTGGCTGGTAAGTGGAGCTGCCGGGATCAGAAGAGGCGCCCATATGGGACTTTAGCCACTAGGCCACACCGCCAGGCCCTTCTGTCTTTACTTTTATAGTATCTAACTCATATTATGATTAGATTTTAAACAACAATCCAGTGAAAAGTCAATGTATGTATTCTTATTACAGATAAGGAATAAGTCCATTGAGAAAAACTTACAAAACACATAATCTTATTGCAAAGTTGGTAAATACTTTAAGAGTGTAATAATAATAAAAAAAAAGCTGTGAATTCTCTATTAAAATAGGCAGTCTAACTTTGAAAAATCACCAACTTCAGGCAGGTTCAAGGGACCCAGTGTAAGAAACCTTTATAATAGATTTAAAAGTAGACTGTTAATACACATTTCCACTTCTAGTATACACTGGAATTTTTTTCACCTAATGTAACACTTTAAGAAGACATGGCTTAGCTCAAAACATTTATGAAATGGACCCATGAAAGCATGAGTGTTCTGACATTAAGATCTATTATCTTCCAAAATTCCTATCTTGAAATTCTAACTGTAAAGCAGTAGGAAGTAAAGCATCTGGAGGTGATTCGGTCCTGAGAACACATTCCTCCTGAACAGGAGTGCAAGAGATCCATTTGTCATTTCTATCATGTGAGGCCCTGCTTCCCATCCAGCTCCCTGCTTGTGGCCTGGGAAAGCAAACAAGGATGGCCCAAAGCCTTGGGACTCTGCACCTGCGTGGCAGATCTGGAGGAAGTTCCTGGATCCTGACTTTGGACCGGCTCAGCTCCGGCCTTTACAGCCATTGGATGGAAGATCTTTCTCTCTGTCTCTCCTCCTCTGTCTTTCCAATAAAGATAAAATAAATCTTTGAAAAAAAAAAAAAGGATGAATTGTTATCACCTCTTTTGGAGTAACATAAATGTATAGTTTCATATAAAACCAATGTTTCATATAGTTAACTGCCAACTGTCATATAGACAGAATAGCTGGGTCAATATATTTTATCATATTTGGTAACTGAATTCAACAGAAATAAGGTGAAACAGAAATAATATGCTATATATTTTCATATACCTGCTTCATCTAACATTAACTATTACCTGTCATCAAGTACTGTAATAATCTCGCCAGCTTTAAAAGTAAGCTCATTATCTTCAGCAGCTTCAAAGTCATATATAGCACGAACTTTTCGGCCCTCGTGCTGGTGATTAGTTAATAGATTAGATGTGCTTGGATACAAGCTGGAAAGGGTGGTGGACTGCTGCCTTTGTTCCTTCAAGGACAATTCAATGGCTGGAAAATAACGAGTTTAAAAAATAAAACAAGACATTACTACATCCAAAAATTCAAAGAAACACAAAAAGTAAGGCAAATAGTACTTTTTAAAAAAATAAGTGAAGTTGACAACTAGAATACTGATAAACTAAACACAAATCATTTTTGTCAATTCTATTAAAACATTCACAACTGAAAGCCTAAATAAGTCATTAAACTGAATTAAATTAAATTAAATTACTCCTGTTTTTTATCAAATACATACAATTTAACTTATTCTGGGTAGGGTGCCAGCACTGAGACACAGAAAGTAAAGCCCTCTCCTGGCTTTGGCTTGGTCCAGGCCTGGGTGACTGCAGCCATTTGGTGGGAACAGACATGGAAAGTATTCTCCACTCCCTCTCTCTCACTTTTACCTCTCTGTAACTCTGCCTTTCAAATAAATGAGTAGATCAAGCTAATCTGGGTATAAGAAGACAAACTTTTAGATCTGTTTTTAAATTCAGCTGTAGATATTTTATATTTTCTTTCACCTTTATAACGCATTCTTATAACTTAAACTCTCAAATGATAATCAAAACCATGGAAAGCTAAGTGTATGAAATTTCATTATAGCTTTACTAAATAAAAAGCAGTATGGGAACCTGGAATTTCTTGTTCCAAGAATAACTGTCATAGACTCAGTCTGAAGAATTACCTAAGAGTTTTCCAAAAACATCTGAAATGTACCTGCTCTATTTCCACACTAACCCCAAGGGCAGCCCTAAAGTACATCGGGCTCCTGGGCTGCAATGTAATCTTAAGGCAGTGACTACCTTTCTTTCAAGGGAACCCATAACCCCTTCTGTTCCATCCCTATTTTAGACTGAAGTTAGATTGCACTGGCATAGCAAAATGATCTTCTAACTGTGATGTTAGCATCCACTTCCCATCCACTTCCCCGCTTGCAGCCTTGGAAAGCAGCAGAGGACTGCTTTCGCAAGCCCTTGGATCCTTGCACCCACATGGGAGACCTAGAAGAAGCTCCTGACTTCTAGCTTCAGATCAGCCCAGCTCTGGCCACTGCGGCCTTCTGGGGAGCAAACCAGCTGATGAAGACCTCTCTCCATCTCTCCTATCTCTGCCAAATTTACCTTTCAAATAAAAATATTTTTTTAAAAACAACCCGATATGAAAATATGACTTTAAAAATATTAGAGACAATACCTATAGTATCATGATACACTTAAATCGCAGAATGATGATGGACTAACACCTGTTGTTGAAGGATTATACTATTGTAAAAATACAGGGGAAAACAGAGGGGAGGGGGTCTGGGGATGTTGTAAGGGGAAATCTCTGAGCCTATAGAACTATATCATGAGGAAAAAAAAAAAGAAAAAATTAGACAATAAACTGAAAATTTATTTCAAGATTTTAAGGTTAGGAAATTTTCTTTAAAAAGGTCTAAAATTAAAAACTGCAACAGAAAACTGAAAAAATTAAAATTTTAAACGTCCACATGAAAAAACACACCATTACTAATGTTAAAAACAAATCAAACAAGAATAGACTCCTACAACAAATGTTAAGAGACAGATTAACATCTAAATAAAGATCTATACATACAAATAAAAAAAAAAAATAATTTACCTAAGAGGGCAGAACAGCCAAGGAATGTATTAACTTCACTTGTAAATCAAGGAAATAAAATGATAACTGGATTCCTTTCAAATCTATCAGATTTATAAAAATTAAATTCTGATAATACCAGAATCAGGGCTTAAAAAGAAATAAAGCAATTTCATACATTGCTATGGAGAAAGAAAACTCTGAACCATCTAGCAAAATTGAAGATGATCTTATTCCATTATCCAATAATACTGCTCTGAGTAACACAGAAAGTCACATATATACATGGGAACATGTACATGGATGCCCACCACAACATCATTTGTTACACGTAAACATTAGAAACAAACCCAATGTTGATCAGCAGATGAGTAGGACAGAAATTGTTCAGTTTATCATTACTAAACTGGAATACAATCCTCTTCCCACCTAGCCCCTCCGCCAAAACAACAAAGAAACCTCATTTATACTTCTCATTATACTTCTCACAAGTAATTTTTCATTAAAAAAAAGTTGCAGATGACACTGAAGAGTGTATTACTACCTTAGGATACCATGTGGGACACTTACACCCCACACTGAAACCACCAATTAAAATGCCAGCTGCTCTGCTTCCTATCCAGCTTCCCAATAACATGTTAGAATACAGCAGGTAATGGCCCAAGCGCCATTCCACACACGAGACACACCTAGATGGAATCTGCGGTGTTGTAACTTTTGCCTCATCCAGTCCTAGCTGTTGAAGGCATTTGGGAAGTCACTCTGACTCTGAAACACATTACTACTTAGAACAACACAGCTATTCACACAAAGTATTTGATATTGCTTCTGGAAATACAATATAATAAAATATTATCAAAACAAAAGCTAGAACAAAAGCATACATGATGACAGCAGTTGACAGAAGACAGTAACAAAACGACACTGAACAAATTAGACTTTAGCTATGGCTGTAAGGTCCTAGTTATTGGTCATTAAATCTTCGAGAAAAAAAAAAAAAAACAAAACAACAACAAAACAACTTGACTTCTTCCCACCAGGAACTAAAACACATACCTTTAGCTAAATCTTCCTCCTCCTTTTTATTTGCTGCAGCTCCAGAATCCTTGGCTACCAGAGCGGGGCTTGCTTTCGCTTGCTCTGCAGCCTAACAGAAAAGGAACACCTAGTTGAAAGTTGTTCTTAAATTCTCCTGCTTTACTTAATTTAAGAAATTGCTAGATTTTTCTCATCCATCTACCACAAACTTCTAAATACATAAATTCAAACAGAATAACTTTGTCCTTGAGACAGTCTAGAAGAGGAAGTACTGGGGAAACAGACTGAGAACAACTAGGTTTAGACCAGACATCTCAGGCACAGTCTCCCAGATTTGTGGAACAGGCTAAGCAGGCAATACATAATTCAGAAAAGACTAAAGTTCATTTTTCAAAGACCAGGGCAGATGTGGGATGGGACCAGGGCAGATGTGGGATGGGACTAGGCAAGGTCTCAACCCCTACTAAGCCATGTGTGAGCCATATGAGGGTATGGACGAGCCTTGGCTGGGCTGAAACATCCAACAGCAAGAACCAGAATGGGTTGAAGGCCAGTCAAGAAAAGCCACTGTTCCTGCTAGGACAGAAGGTGAACTGAGTAGGGCTGGCTCATGGACCCCTGGTATGTGCGCAATCTGACATTGGGAGAGGTTCTGATGGAGGAGCCTGGGCAGCTCCTCTGACAGGACACAGTCCCTGCAGGTAAGCACAAGCATGATAGGAAACAGCCTAGAACAGGTCATAGAAAGTTTCCCACTGGCAAACATTTGGCATGGGTCAGGGGCAGACCAGGTTGAATCAGTTCACATCACCCACTGGGAAATCTGAGCACCAGAACAGAGTGTGGGTCGAGCCAGGTTCAGTTGCAACAAAAGCCAGTGCACACTACGGAATGCCAAGGTGGGGTTACCTGTGCCAGATCTGACCACAGCGCTCAACGAGCACAAGTGAGAACCAGGAAAGGAGGGGGCAAAGCCGGCAGGGAGAATGTGGGGGTGCTCCCGGGCTGGACAACTACTCCCACTGGAGAGTGTGAGCTGGGATGGGGCCAGACCAGACTAGGCAGAGGTACAATACCTGTGCACCTCATGTGAGCTAGATCAGGGAAAAGCCAGGCTGGCTGACTCATCCTACTGGTGCAAGCATAAATCAGAGTGGGTGAGGGTTGTTTGGGCTTTGCCGCAGTATCAACTAGCAGATACTGGCACAGGGGCTAACTCTGTCAAGTTAAACTGCAGAACCACCTGGAGAGTGCATGATCTGGGAGTGGGAGTGGCCAGGGAGGAAAATAGTGGGCTCCTCCCTCTTGGGTTACCACCTCCACGGGAGGGCATGAAAACAAGGACAGGGGTTGGGATGGCTAGACAGAAAGGCACCCAACAGCATGTGTGTGGCCTGGATACTCCGGCTCGTTGGGTTGAACTAGCTTCAATGTCCATTGACATGTATGAGAGCTGAATGGGATGTGGGACAGACTGGACTAGTCTGCTACACATGCTGGCAAATCAGGCTAATGGGTGGGCCTAGTGAAGGTTATTGTGGATCGCTCCAACTAGGCTGCAGCTCCCGCTGGTTTATGTGAGGGCCGAGTGTGTGCTGGGCATAACCAGGCTGGACGGCAACACCCATTGGTTCCAGTGGAAATCGGGGCTGAAAACAGAACTGACCCAGCAATTGCAACCACCAGCTGATGGAGCGATGGACTGCGCAGGGCCCTGTACTTGCTTGTACATACAAGATTCTGGTCAGAGAACACCTCAGACAAAGTCTCTTTGGGGATCTCCCCAATCGAACTGCTGGACTCAGACCCTAACTATGAAGAGACAGAGAACAGAACAAGTCAATCAACCACCTCAATCATATGTTGGTAGTGAAAAACTGGGCAAACAGAGACTCTAAGATGGACTATGTCAATCAGTGGATTCTCCAACGACCTCATCGTGCTTAGAATGGCGAGACTGACAGCAATTCACAACTGGTGAACTATCAAAAACATTTGAGCAAGACCTTCGGCGCATTCCCCACATCAGGGGCCTGGAGTGGGTTGGAGACTGGGTGGGGCTTCTCCCTTAAAATCCCCCTTTACCTCAGATACATGAAGGAAGCAATATGGAAATAATAGTCTTCCCCACTTTCCTATAGCCTTGAACCTTTCTACCCTAATTAACTATGTAAAGATTGTCAAAAATATAATAAAAAATGGAAAAAGAAAAAAATTGCATTATGGGGCATGGCATTGATCTAACAGTGAAGACACCCACATCACATCCTGGCAAGCCTAGATCAATGCCAGGCTCTGCTCCTGACTCCAGCTTCCTGCTAATGAGGGCCCGAACAGGCAGCAGGGATGGCTCTGACAACTGGGTCCTTGCTACCTACACATTGCTTTGACCCCTGGTCCCGGGTAACTATGGGCCTGAGAGAGTGACTACCTTTCATCCCCTTCTTCTCTCTGCCTTTTGCCCCTTCCCCTTCCTTTTCCTTTCGATCGACCTCTGTCTCCCAAATAAATATGAAAAAAATATTCAATATTTTTAAATACTGAATCAATACATTTAACATGGAGAAAAAGGAAAGTAAAGGTTAGATGTTAAAGTGAATTAAAACGATATTTTTTCATGCAAAACATTACTTTAACAAAAATTCTTTTTGAAGAAGTAAAACCTGCATGGGATTGGAGAAAAAGAAAGGAAAAATAAAAGCAATCATAGCAGTCGGAAAGACAAAATTTAACACAGAACATTATAAAATACCTGAGATCCAACAGCTGGGAAAGTAACTCCTTGTTCCTTAAGGTTCTTAATCATTGCTGATATTAGGCTAAGTTGTGGGTCATTCTTAAATTCATCTGTCCATTCAACCATAAGAGCTTTTAATTTTTCACATACTTTGGGATGACCCTAAAAACAGAAGCTTAATGAAAAAATGCCAATCTCTCAGCTTTAACTAGAAAAATTACATTATAGATACTCTGAATCATAACGAATCCTAAGTTACACACTGTATACGTAAAATAAGACAGTTATTTATTTGAAGTAAACTGCTACATTCACCCTATGAAAAAATGGGGTATATTACTTAAAAATTAAAATATTAAGTATGTAATTACATTTAATCAGTAAGACAGAACTTTTCAGAATACTTTGAACTAAGCAATCTATTTTTCAGAAACACATGTTTTTTGCAGACCAATGACAAAACTGTAAGAACTGAAGTAATAGGCAATTGTAAGATCTTCTAGTCCAATACACCACTTTTTCTTTGTCCTAATCAATTAACACAGGTATTGACAAAAGTTAAGGCTAAAATACAAAACTAGCTTCAACCCTGAGCCTAAATCCTTAAACCCTCACATGTACTCAAGAACCTGACCTTTCATTATAGACACTCCTGGATAGTGTTTCTCATCTCATTGTCCATTATAAGGACACAGACAGCCCCAAGAAATTCCCCCTGGCATATGTTTTCACTGATTATCCTGGAATTCAGTGCCTTTTCCTTCCTTTGGAATTCCAATCAATCCCACTTCATGAGGGTTTGCGTAACTTGAGCAGCAAACTCCCCTGCCATCTCTTATGAAGCCACACCAGGTGAAGGTTTAACCAAGGAGAAAAGAAGTATTAAAATCGTGTAATGGCCAGTGAGTGATTCATTCATGTTAAGAGTGTCATACATTTTTGGAAAAATTTCTAAAACCTTTGTATTAAAAACACATGTGTGGCTACAAAAGTGATTACAAAAACTTGTTCCTGAAGTAGTCAGTATTGTTTCAGTAGATATAGAAATACACATGTTTCCTTATCAGCTGAATAACTTTAAATAACAGGGCCTGAAAAAAAATCCCTAAGGTTATATAAATTTAGAGTTTCCTTAGAAAAACATAATATGAATACACTGGTTAAAAAATTTGTAATTAAAAACGCAAACAATTCAATAATAAACAATGTAAAAACTGTCTTAATTTATATAAGAAAAAAAAACAAAACATACCTTATTTAATACATTGCTTACTTCACTAGCAAAATCTCTTGAACATACTTCCAAATGGAAAATTTTACCGCAGTTTGACACACATGCTCCTAGAAGCTGAAAGCACAAGACCACAAGTTAAAAGGGCCCAGTTTGGGCAGCTCACTAAGTAACACTGCTTCAAATGAAATAACTTACAGTCAAAGCTTGCATAGCAACATGAGGATCTTTATGGTTCACCCTCCTCATAATAGATCGCAGACAATCTTTGGGTCTAAAAAAATGAGAAAAACAATTATTAGTTATTATATAAATAGCACTCCCCCCACTCTTTTAACTATTATAGGCAACAAGCTGTCATAGACGACTATGGTCAAATACAGAACCTCAATTTTTATTAATGGCGTGTGAAAAACTATAGATCAACCAGTTTAAAAGTTTCAAACATTTGGGCCCAGCATGATAGCCTAGCGCCTAAAGTTCTTGCCTTGCATGCACCAGAATCCCATATCATCACCAGTTCATACCTCAACTGCTTCACTTCCCATATAGCTCCCTGTTTGTGGCCTCAGAAAGCAGTAGAGGATGGCCCAAAGCCCTGGGACCTTGCACCTGCGAGAGGGACCCGGAGGAAGCTCCCGTCTTTGGATTGGCTCACTTACGCCATTGCAGCCACCTGAGGAGCAAGCGATCATTCTGTCTCCCCTTACTGTAAAAAATCCGACTTTCCAATAAAAATAAACAAATCTTTTTTAAAAAGTTTCAAACATTTTTATAAACATTGGGTCCAGTACTACTGTTCAGCAAGTTAAGCATCTGTCTTAATGCTTGGAATACTGTGTGGGTAACAGTTCTAGTCCCAGCTGCTCCAAATTCAACTCAAGTCCCTGTTAAAATGTTTGGGAAAGCAACAAAAGTGTTTCAAATGCCTGAGCCACAGCCATTCATGTTCAAGACATGGGTGAAGTTCCAGGCTCCTAGCTTCAGCCTGGCCCAGCCTTAGCCAATGCAGTCACTTGGGGAATGAAACACTGGATGAATGATTGCTCTCTTTCTCTCTCTAACTCTGCTTTCCAAATCAGTAAATGAATTAAAAATTTTTTTTCACATAATTAATATGTTCTCTTAATTTATCAGGGTAATTTTGTGTAGAAAAAAGTTTTGGAATAAAATGGAGTTAAAACTTTTACTTCCAGCCATCACATAATAAGTGACCGCAGATTTTATATTGAAAATATATATTTAAAATGTATATATTGAGTTAACTGGAGATACCACACCACAAGCAGTACTGAATAACAACTGCAAAGAAGAAAAACAAATCACAGGTCCAGCATAGTAGCCTACCAGCTAAAGTCCTTGCCTTGCTTGGACCAGGATCCCATATGGGTGCCAGTTTTAATCCCAGCAGCCCCGCTTCCCATCCAGCTCCCTGCTTGTGGCCTGGGAAAGCAGTCAAGGACAGTCCAAAGCCTTAGGACCCTGCAGCAATGTGGAAGACCTGGAAGAGGCTTCAGACTACTGGCTTTGGATCAGCTCAGTTCTGGCTATTGTGGCCACTTTTGAAGTAAGTCATTGGACATAAGATCTTTATCTTTGTCTCTTCCCTCTGTGCATCTGACTTTCTAATAAAAATAAGTCTTAAAAAAAAAAAAGGAAGAAGTAAAACAAATCACATACACCAGAGGTTTGCTTCAACTTTCTGCCTAGAGACACTTGAATACCAGGACACACTTTACTCCTAAAGGCAGTTCTAGATCTCAGAGCAGGGAAGATGATCTCAAGAAGAACACCTCAAATGAACTGAAGAAAAAGAAATCAGAATTCAAGAGGGCTAATGATTGGCAGGAAACAGTAGAGGCTGTTAAAAGTTCCAGACAGCTGAATATGGGTCCAACTAGGTCTGTTTAGGAGGAACCAACACATGCATAAGTTAAAAACTCCATACAGGGGCCCGGCGCGGTGGCGCAATGGTTAAGGTCCTCGCCTTGCACGCCCGGGATCCCATATGGGTGCCAGTTCTATCCTGGCAGCCCCGCTTCCCTTCCAGCTCCCTGCCTGTGGCCCGGGAAAGCAGTCGAGGACAGCCCAAAGCTTTGGGACCCTGCACCCACGTGGGAGACCCAGAAGAGGCTCCTGGCTTCGGATTGGCATAGCATCGGCCTTTGCGCTCACTTGGGGAGTGAATCATCGGATGGAAGAACGTCCTCTCTGTCTCTCCTCTCTGTATATCCGCCTTTCCAATAAAAAAAATAATAAAAAATAAATCTTTAAAATATAGATTAAAAAAAAAAACTCCATTCAGAACAAAAAGTGAGTAAGAGCTGTATGAGAAAGCGTTCCTAAACCTTACAAATTGTCAGAGCTCACACCAAAGTGGAGAGTTCTTACTGAATATTTATAGAGCTTTGTACCCTACAATGACTTAAAAATTAGCCACAGAAGGTTAACAACTTCAGAAAGCAGATGAAGCTTAATATTCTTCAGTAAGCATATAATAGGAATACAATATAACCTATTTCTCCATAATAGAAAATTAAAAATAGCAATCATTCAATTAAAAAAAATCAGTAAATGACATAAGGTAGAAAACTGACATAACTTGGTGAAAATTTACTCAATTGAAAATACAAAATTAACAGATAATGGAAACAGCTGCTGAAGAGTGTGTGTGTACATATAAAAGATAATACAAGTATATTCAAGCAGATAAGAGATCAATATAAGAGAAATGGCATATAAAAAACCAGGTATTATTCCAATTATGAAAACTATAAATTGAATTATGAAATTATGAAAATAAATCGATGAATCAAACTTGAAATTATCCTGAAAATATGTAACCTATGAAATACATGGAGAATAACTAAAAACATTACCAGAAGTCCACCTGCAGAGTAATAAAAAGATAAGACAAAAAACTTTGGGGGTTGGCATTGTGGAGTAAATCACCACCTATGTATGATACTGGCATCCCATCTGTGAGCCAGTTAAACTCTTGGCTGCTCTACTTCAGATTCAGTTCTTTGCTAATGTGCCTTGAGAAGGCAGTGGAAATTGAGCCTAAGTGCTTGGAATCTTGCCATCTATACAGGCAATCATGGAATTCTGGACTCGTGGTATCAATAGCCATTTGGGCAGAGAACCAGTGAACCAAAAGATCTCGCAATAAACATATTTTACCATAAAAAAACCTGGTAAACAATGATCAACAATCTAAACTTTACCCCTAAGTAGCTGGCAAAAAAAGGGGGGAGAGGAGGGAGACGAACTAAATAAAAAGCAAACAGGAAGAGGAAACAAGAAATAAAGATTGGGGGAAAGGAGGTGTGGTACAGGTTAAGCCTGCTTGCAACACTCCCACCCCATGTGACACTGGTTTGAGCCCAGCTGCTACACCTCCTAGCCAGCTCCCAGCTAAACTGCCTAGGAAAGCAGTGGAAGATGATGCAAGTGCTTGGATCCCAGCACTCAAGTGGAAAACTAAGAAGCTGTGGGCTCCTGAATCCAGCCTGGCTCAGCCCAGCCATTACTGCCATTAGGGAGGTGAATCCACAGATGAAGATTTTTGCTCTCTGTCCCTCTTCTTCTCTGTAACTTTAATTCTTAAAAACATTAGAAGATAAATGAAGACAGACAACAGGAAATAAGTAAAAATGGAACACAAAAGAGAGGTTTCTTTCAAAGATGAACAAAACTGACAAATCTCTAATTAGATTGACTATGAAGGAAAGACGCTTCAAATAATTTAAATGACAAAAGAAGCAACATTATTCCCAACACTGCTGAAATAAAAAGGATCAAAAATAAAATAACTACGAACAACCTCTTTATTAATATTTATTTCTATTTGAAAAGCAGATTTATAGAAAGAAGAGAGAGAATATCCCTCTGCTGGTTCATGCCCCAAATGGTTGCAATGGCCAAGGCAGAGTTGATCCAAAGCCAGGAGCCAGGAGCTTCTTCTGAAATCTTCTATGGAAACCCTTGTACAACTTGACAAGAAAATGAGCAGAAGCATTCTTGCGGTAGAGAAGCAATCTTCAAGGAAGTCTTCCTGAGTGTTTTCATACTAAAAAGTTGGCTTTCTTAAAACATTCTTCTTGGTCCTTTGTAGAGTCAACAAACACAATGCCTGGCTCATGTACAGACCTTTGCTCAGGGCCAGTCCACTTGTACTGTACCTGGCCCACTCCTACCTCCTGGGCCTCAAGTTTTGATTGTGCTCCATCTTCAGAATGCTACCAGTAAAGCCATGCTTCATTTACTGTTAAAATTATTTGAAAAAATTCTTCAGGATGTTGAGCTCACCTGCTTAGGATTTCTAGTGAAAGCACTGTTCACATCTGAAGCTGATCTGGGCACAAAAGCTTTGGCATTCATCAAGTATCACTACAGTTTTCTCCACTTTAATTTTCCTGTCAGAATTGTAGTGAACCAATTCAGATGTTTATGTGTCAGCTATTATTTCTACTGTAGCTGCCACTTCCTACTCAATTAGGACATGAACAAAATTCATTTTTTCCTTAAAGTGATGTGGATTGTCTGCCCTGTGAGATTCCATTTAATACCATCTCCTTCCTTTTTAAAGCAAGATGCTCAATAGCAAACAGTGATTTCTCCAAGGGCACTCTCCTTATGAGGCTATGACCTTTTTATAAAGCACTAAGACGATTTATTCATTCTTCCACATGTTTTCACCACAAACTTGTTTTGACTTAATTTCAGCAGAAGTATGTTGTTTTGTAAAACTTCTTTTCAAACCACTGTCAGTGCCAGCATTGTGGCCTGGCTGATTGAGCACCACCTATAATACAACACCAGCATCCCATAAGAGCCACTGTTTGAGTCCAGGATGCTCCACTTCTGACCCTGCTCCCTACTAAAGTGCCTAGGGAGGCAGAAGATGGCCCAGTAATCTGGGCCCCCCCACCCATATGGAGGCCAACATGGAGTTCAGGGCTTCCTATTTTGGCCTGGCACAGCTCTGGCCATTTGGGGAATGAATCAGCAAATAAAAGCTATTCATTCTCTCTCTCTTTCCCTCCCCGCCCCCACTGTTTCAAGTTTCATGTAAATAAGACAAATCTTAAGGCGGAAAAAAAAAAAATCCTTCTCTATACTTCAAACCAAATCCTGTTCATACACGCTACAACAAGCTTACTTTGGCACAAGAAAATTTTGCATTGCTGGTAATAATGTAAAATGTGATAATCATTGTGGCAAAGTATCGTAAGTTCACAAAAAAAAAATGTTTTTAAGCTATCAGAGATT